TTTTTTTTTTTTTTCTCTTTGCTGCTACTACTACTGATAATGTTGAAGGAACAGCGCGACACCAAAGACCAGAGAGAGAGAGAGAGAGAGAGAAAGTAGTAATTCTAATAATACTTGAAATACTCATAGATAAAAGAAAGAGAGAGATGGTGGGAGTGAAGAATTTGCAGAGGATCAGAAGAACAAACAACACACGAGGGCACCAATAAGGCTAATATGATAATTTAAATCAAGGCATTTCCTTCTTTTTTTTCCCACCTTTTTTGCCTACAACTACCGAGTAAAACAAATGGAGAAGAGAAAAACTAAAGAACAAGAAATAATAATAATAATAATAACAAAAAAAAAACTGAATTAACAAAAAAAAATTAAATTAAAAGGAAAAAAAGGGGGGAAATAAAGGATAGAGAATAAACTATCTGTTTTTTTATTCCTGAAATCTGCTGTGTGTTTCGCTCCTGTGGTAAGTATTATATATATATATATATATATTATATATATATATATATATATTCGCTTGCTTATTCATTCATTCATTCATTCCATCTCTCCATCTCTCTCTGTGTATGTGCATCTCTCCGTTTGTGCGTACCGAGAATGTGTTGAAATAACGTGTATGTGTTTGTATATGTTTGTGTATGGTTTTGTTTCTCTCTCTCTCTCTCTCTCACTCACTCTCTGAATAATAATAAGAAGTAAAAAAAAAAAAAAAAGTGATTTGAAAACTGTATTAATGTTATTGAATGTGTTATTCTGGCTTGAAAGCCGGATTTGTGGGGTGATTGATTGATTGATTGGTTGATTGGTGTTGAGAACACAATAGAAAAAGTATCCGGTCAGCGCGGAGTCTCCGCTAGAAAAGTTCAGAAGAATGGAAATAAAGAAATGAAACGTAGGATGAATAAGAAATGCGTTTTTTCTTTTTTTTATTTATTATTCTTAAGGAATTTTTTTGATTTCTCTCTCTCTCTCTCTCTCTCTTGATTACTACATCAAAAAAAAAAAAGAAAAGAAAAAAAACATATCTTGCAAGACAGATCCATTAGTAATAAATAAATACTCCTGGGTACTACTACTATTACGAATACGAATACTATTGCTACTGTCACCATTATCAGAAAAGAATATTGGAAGCAAAAAAAAAAAAGAAAAGAAAAGAAAAAGACAGTAGCATAAGAGCCATGATATCATCATTATGGAAAGTTCTGTCAAGACCTGAGTAAATCTACAAAAAAAAAAGGTAGTGGTTCTTTTGTATCTTGGGGGAAAAGGGAAACGAAAGTTGTCGTATTCTTATTACCCACTACTATTTAATATTGTGATTATATATATATATATATGTATATATATAGAATGGATGTGGTATGTATGTATCTATCTATTGGGCACCAGAAAAAAAATGTTAATTGTGATGATTACTAATGATGAATTATTGTTATTATTGCAGATGGTGATAGTAATGCTAAAGAGAGAGAGAGAGAGAGAGAAGAGGTGTGGGGAGTGGGAGGACAGCAATAGAGAACAAAAAAAGAAAAGAAAAGAGAGAGAGAAAAGCAAAATGGTAACTGTGTATATAAATAGGAGAGTTTCATTGTGTAAAAGAAGAAGAAAAGAAAACTTCCCTATTAATAGTTATTATTATTATTATTATTATTATTATTATTATTATTATTATTAT